CCTCCTCAAGGCCTTTGAGACTTTTGCTCACAGGCTCCTTCAGATTCCTCTCCACCCTGCTGCATCACCTAGTCCCAAAGCCAATGCCACATGTTTTACTTTGATTATGTTATTATGTTACACTTTTGCTAAGATAGTTATTCTACTTCCAGGTAACAAAATCTGTTTTATTTACTTATACCATGTAACAAACTGCTAGTATTACTATGTAATAAACTGTATCTCTTCTACCCTCCCCAAGAAGTCAGTGGCAAAAAATATAACAGAGAAAAAAGCCCCAACTTACCTAATAAAACCTAGGAATCTAGTGTAGCTATAAGAGATGACTATTCTACACAGGTTATATTTATAATAATTATATCAGTGGTTCTATAAGTTTTTGACTTAGGATACCATTACATTCCTAATAATGGCAAAGAGTGCTCCCAAGCTTTTGTTTATGTGGGTTTTATTTGCTAATATTTACTATATAAAAAATAAAAATTAGGGCCAGCAGGTGGAGGTTAAGGCAGCTGGATCCCACATGGCCAACTATGTGGTTCAGATCCCAGATTTGGCAGCTTGAATATCCCATCAGGCCTGTGTGAGAGCATGCCCAAAATCCCAAGGGGAGAATTGAGGAGGAGGGATTATGGTGTGGTTATACCCCTGGGAGAGGGGGTTGATTTCTTAATTTCTTTCTCTCTCCAGTAAGTTTTAAGCAAAACTTAAAAACAAAACAAAACAGAACAAAACAAAAAACTGAAATTCAGAAAAGAAAAACAATAAATCCATGACAGGCTAATATAAAATAACACATTTTAATGAATAATAAAAATATTTTCCCAAAGAAAAACATATAGGGAGATGAGCATTATCTTTTGCATTATTGCAAATCTCTTTATGTCTTGCTTAAAGAAGATACTTAGATTCTCCTTTCTACTTTTGCATTCAATTTGATGTGCTATGTTGTGTTGGTTGAATTAAAATCCATTCTCACACAGATCGTAAGTAGAAAAAAGAGTATTTTTTTTAATAGCCTTATCAGAAGATTGTGAATATTCTTTGATACCACACCAAAACTCAACAAGTATAGTTTCTTTTTTATGTTTATTTATTTTTAATTTAATTAATTTATTATTATTATTGAATTTGCTATAGGGTGCATGTACTCACCAGAGGGGAGAGGGGAGTGAGGAAGTGAGAAAGTAAGCCAAGTCCAAGACTCAAACCATGGTTGGCCATGTGGGAATCTAGCCACCGGCTGGCCCCAAGTTTGTTTATTTTCTTAATGACTGAGAAAGAGAGAAAAAGAGAGGCTGCAAGCACATATTCAACAGGGTCTCGATGTTGTGATCTACTACTGCCAGCCTCAGCCATCCAGGATCGTGGGCACGTGTGTTTCCAGCATACTTGGGGAAGCCTCCAGATATAAACCTAGAACTTTCCCACCAGGGATCACCTTGTATAGCATCACTTTGTTATCCCTGCACCATTGTCTAATTCTAACAAATGATAGTTTCTTTTCTTTTATTTTTTAATTTTTTTTTTTTTTTGGAGAGGTTTTTGCTATAGGGTGTGGGCGCTCACCAGAAAGACAGAGAGAGACAGAGAGACAGAAAGTGAGAAATCACCCCCCAGGGGGGATGGCCATGCCACAATCCCTTCTCCTCCATCCTCCTCTTGGGATCTTGGGCATGCACGCACATGCACCCAGCGTGAGTTTAAGCCACTGGGTCAGGGACTTGAACCATGGTCGGCTACATGGGAGTCCAGCGACATAGCCATTATGTTAATTGCTGGTCCCTAGTGATAGTTTCTTTTTAATTTTTCTTTTTCTTTTTTTTTTTTTTTTTTTGTGGTCATTGGGCACATGTGCTTACCAGAGAGAGAGACATTGAGAAGGAAAGTAAGAAGTCACTCTCCAGTGGCAATGGCCATACCACAATCCCTTCTTTATTCTCCACTTGGGATTTTGGGCACACACATACAATGTGATTTTCTTTCTTTCTTTCTTCTTTCTTTCTTTCTCTCTCTCTCTTTCTTTCTTTCCAGTCTCTAGAGAGACAGACAGAAAGTGAGAAATCACTCCCTGGAGTGATGGCTATACTGCAATCCCTTCTCCATTTTCCTCTTGGGATTTTTAGGCACGCACGCACATGTGAGGGGTATGAGTTTAAGCCACCAGGTTCAGGACTTGAATTGTGGTCGACTATGTGGGAGTCCGGCGATGTAATCATTACGCCATCTGCTAGTCTTCCTCTATCAGGAATGGTCGTCCTTTTTGACTGAGTGCGCAGCTTTGGGAGGGATGCACAAGGAGTGGTGAGGGAGGAAGGGAAGAAGACACCTGCCTACCCAGCCAGAACAGCAGAATCAACCCTGGTGATCAATGGGGTGAAAGATGTCACAGCCAGATTGCCCTCACATCTGAATGTCACATTGTGAAAGAACAGGAGTGTGTGTGTCAATCGCAGGGTCCCCACACTAATCACTCATTCCCAAATGCCACATCTTTTATATAAAATTTGCTTTTCAAGAATTATTTAATTTTATTATTATTATTATTTTTCAATTTGATGAGAGAGAGAGAGAGAGAGAGAGAGAGAGAGAAAGAGAGAGAGAGAGAGGAAGCTGCCAGGTCCTGGACTCGAGCTGCAGTTGGCCATGTGGGAGTCTGGTGCCTTAACTACCATGCCACCTGCCACTGCCGCCCCCCCACCCCCCCACCTTTTATTGCTGTAAGGTTCCAGCAGATGGTGTAGGGGTTATGCCTCTGGACTCCCACATGGCCTACCATAGTTCGAGTCCTGGACCAGATGACTTGAATTTCATGCCAAGTGAGACTGCGTGCATGCCCAGGGTGTCTGGAGAATGGAAAAGGGATTGCCTTGTGACCATCCTCCCAGGGGGCAATTTCTCACTTTCCCTCTCACTGTCTCTGTCTTTCTCTGGTGAGAGCACACACCCTAAGGCAAAAACCTCTAAAAAAATTGCTATAATAGGGCCAGCAGATGGTGTAGCAGTTATGTAGCAGGAGTCCCACATAGCTGACCACGTATTGAATCCTGGATATGGCGGCTTAAATCTCTGGGTGTGAGTGTGCATGCCCAATATCCCAGGAGGAGAATGGAGGAGCAGAGATTGTAATGTGGCTATCTCCCTGGAGGGGTGTAATTTATCACTTTCTTTCTCCCTTTCTCTGTGTCTCCATCTAGCACATGCATTCGTAGGCAAAAACCTCTAAAATTTTTGGGACCCGCAGTTAGCGTAATGGCTATGTCGCTGGACTCCCACATAGTCGACCGCGGTTCACGTCCCGGACCCAGTGGCTTAAAACTCACGCCGGGTGCATGTGCGTGCGTGCCCAAGATCCCGAGAGGAGACTGGAGGAGAAGGGATTGTGGTGTGGCCATCCCCCCTGGGGGGTGATTTCTCGCTTTCTGTCTCTCTCTGTCTGTCTGGCGAGCGCACACGCCCTATAGCAAAAACCTCTCCAAAAAAAAAAAAAAAAACCCTCTAAAATTTTTGTTTGTTTGTTTGTTTGTTTGTTTTAGGGTATATGAGCTCCCCAGAGAAAGGAGCGGGGAGAGAGAGAGAGGTAAAGTGAGAAAGCATCCTCCAGGATGGCCATGTCATAATTTTCTCTCCTCCATTCTCCTGCAGGAACTCCAGGCATGCATGTACACGCCTGTGTATGCACATGCACCAGTGTGTCTTTCCAACCACCAGACTCCAAGTGTGTAGTCAGCCAGGTGGGAACCACTGTGCCACAGGCTGGTCCTAAACTCTTATATTTTTGCTTGCACAAAGTACATTGACCAATAAATATGAGTTTTGGATTACAAGCAGTTAAGAAATACGTGTGTGTGTGTGTGTGTGTGTGTATTCCCCCCAGTTAATCTATTCTTTTAATTGTAAAAATCCGAGTGGAAATCAGTTCCAGAGACTCATTCCCATTTCAGACCCACATTGCCTTCCTAATTCTTTTTCTTAACTGCTGGTGAGGCCCAAATTCTTGACTGCTCTCCTCTTATTCATCTTCCCCACCCCACTCCACATTCACAATTCTGCTAAGGAGACAGTCCCTCTAGTTTATTGACTCATGAATTTTTTAAAATTTTTTTGCTATAGGGCATGTGTGCTCCCCAGAAAGACAGAGAGAGACAGAGAGATAGAAAGCGAGAAATCATCCCCAAGAGGGGATGGCCACACCACAATCCCTTCTTCTCCATTCTTCTCTTGGGATCTTGGACAGGCATGCACACACGCTCAGCGTGAGTTTAAGTCACCGGGTCCGGGACTAGAACCACGGTGGGCTACATGGGAGTTCATCGACATAGCCATAACGCTAACTGCTGGTCCAATGGCTCACAAATTTTAATGGTACTAGAATCACATGGAGGGCTTGTTAAAATATGTTGGCTTTTGAATTCAAAGTTTCTGATTGAGGTTAAGTCTGAGGTAGGAGCCTAAGAATCTGAGTGCAAGAATCTGCATGCTCAGTACGTGCTCGGGTGATCTAAAGCTGCTGGTTTGGGGATCACATTTTGAAAAATTCCAATCTCTGCTTCCCCAAGACATGTTCAAAGATTCATGCTAATAGTTACAGGGAAACATTAAAGCAATTATATAAATGTTACCGGCGTTGGTCTTAGATACTAGATGGTAAAAATAAGGCCACCCCACATTCCTTCTCCCAGGGCCAGACTGGCCCCCACCTCCCACGTGCAATCCAGGCAGATCCCTAGTTTGACCCACTGTATAAGAAGGCTGTGGAAATCGAACGAAAGGAACCTCTTAAACTAACCTCACTAAAAGATGGCCTAACTTCATTTCAATCAGTGTGCTAAGACAGCCACGTTCTGCGGCGGGGTGGGGAGAGACAAGCGACGGCGCCTGCGCTTCAGGTGGAGTCAGAGCCGCTCCTCCGAGGCCAGGTGAGCTCCCGGGAGTAGAGGGCGGAGTCAGAGTCGTGCCTGGGCAGCTGCTTCCGCCCACGTGGTCATGTGACTGACCAATGAGAAGGCTTGACGTCATCCCCGCTTCCTCACCCTGGCAACATGCGGCTGACGACTTCCGGTGCTGTGAGGGCTCGGGGCTGACGCGGGTGAGTGTCCCTCTTTCTCACGCTGTCCGCGCCGCTGCCGCCGCCGCGCCGCTCCTCTCTGCGGGTCTCCTACCGCTGGGACGTCCTCTCTGGGCCGGAAGGGGCGGTGCGCAGGACGCCCCCTGCCCCGGGCTCTGCTTGAGGAAGGGGATGTCCCTAGTGCCCTCGTCTCGGTCGCGCGTGGGGCCCGCGCCGGCCCTTTTCCCCGCCTTGTCTCGAGCTGGGCGGCCTCATCGCCTCTCTGAGGACAGGGGCGGACTGTGTGCGGGAAGGTCTCACAGCCCTTTACCCGCAGGGCTATCGGGGTTGAGATATCTCTCAGGCCGAGGCTCGCAGAGACGCGAGCGTGTGCTCCTGGGTGGCGGGCTGGGCAAGGTGGCCCCGTAGTGTGGGAGCGGCCCGGTTAGAGTCCCGCGGGACGTTAGTCTTTACTGTCAGGCGGAGGAAAGGACCCAGAGGATGGCGCGTGGAGAGAGTGAAGCAGGAGCTGGAGTTGCCCGGGAAACCGAGGGCATCGTGTTTCCGGAAGGAGAGTCTAACTGGACTTGCTTGTATAGGGAGAGGGAGGAAAAATATTTTGGGGACTGAGATCATTAGTAATAACCTAAGGGATTTTTACTTATACACGTGATTTTAATCATTTCCTTTATTTTTGTTGTAAATAAAGCTTCCCCCTCCCCTCACCATTTAGAGGAAGCAGTACTTATTAAATAATTTGAAAATACAGGAATATTTGAGAAGAGATCATCCATTGTTCTACCAACCTAACATTTTTATAATTTTTTTGTGTACATGAACCAGTTTATGATCTGTAAAATATAGCGGTAATTAAAAAGCATAATTTGTGTACCTTGCGTGGATAGATTTTTCTTACTGAGATAAATTTACATACTATTAACTTCATCCTTTTAAATTGCAACGTTCAGTGGGTTTAATATGTTCACAAAGTTATATGGTCATGACCACTAATTCCAGAACATTTCACCACCCTTAAAGACATCTGGTGCCCTTTACAGTGACTTCCATTAGATTTTCTCCTTTTGCCCTGACCTCTTTTCCCGCAGACCTTGCAATTACTAATTTACTTTCTGTGTCTGTAGGTTTTCCTGTTGTGGTCATTTCAAGTAAATTAGATTAGATAATATGTGGCCTTTTGTGTCTGGCTTCTTTCAGTTAGCATAATGTTTTCAAGGTTTATCCATGTCTGTGTATTAGTACTTCATTCCTTTTTATGACTATGTTACATTAACTATTTCAAATTTTCTTTATTCATCATCAGTTGATGGATTGTTGATATTTTTTGGCTGTTTTGAATAACTGCTACAAACACCCATTTTTGTGTGGACATGTTCGCAGTTACTTTGGGTATATACCTAGAAGTAGAATTTCTGGATCATACAGTAACTTTATGTTTAACCTTTTTAGGAACTGCCAGATATTTTCCAAAGTGGCTACACTATTTTACATTCCCACCAGTAGTTATGAGTTCGGGTTTCTTTGTATCATTCCTAACCCTTATATGTCTCTGTTTGTAGTTTTATCTCATATTAACATATGATCTTAGATCTATTTAGAGTCAGTTTATGTATATGGTGTGAGGTAGGAGTCCGGCTTCATCCTTTCACATGCGGTTATCTATCCAGTCTTTTTAGCACCATTTATTGAAAAGAATGTCCTTGCTCCCATGGAATTATGTTGGCACCTTTGTTGAAAATCAACTGACCATAAATGTATACATTATTGTTTTCTTAATCACTTTTTATGTTGCACATTTAAGTCACTCTCAGATTTTTGTTACTTTATATTATCTCTTTTTTTGGAGAGGTTTTCACTATAGGGCGCGTGCGCTCGCCAGACAGACAGAGAGAGACATAGAGACAGAGAGCGAGAAATCACCCTCCAGGTGATTTTTTTTTTGGACAGGTTTTTGCTATAGGGTGTGTGCGCTCACCAGAGAGACAGAGAGACAGAAAGCGAGAAATCACCCCCCCAGGGGGGATGGTCACGCTGCAATCCATTCTTCTCCATTCTCCTCTCGGGATCTTGGGAACGCACGCACACATGCCTGGCGTGAGTTCTAAGCCACCATGTCCAGGATGTGAACTGCGGGTGACTACGTGGGAGTCCAGCGACATAGCCATTATGCTAACTGCTGGTTCCCATGTTACTTTATATTATCTTGTGTTAAACAGAACACAAGGGTGTATAACCTCTCTATTTAAAGTGGTTTTGGGGGACTAGCAGTTAGCATAATGGCTATGTAGCTGGACTCATGTAGTTGACCATGGTTCAAGTCCTGGACCCAGTGGCTTAAACTCACGCTGGCTGCATGTGTGTGTGGGTGCCCAAAATCCCGAGAGGAGAATGGAGGAGAAGGGATTGCAGTGTGGCCATCCCCCCTGGGGGGGTGATTTCTCGCTTTCTGTCTCTCTGTCTCTCTGGTGAGCACACATGCCCTATAGCAAAAACCTGTCCCCCCCCCAAAAAAAAGCGATTTTGGTACAAGAGTCTCAGAAGTGGAATTATTGGGTCAAGGATGAATATAAGTGGGTTCTGAAGCTCATTTAGTGAGGTATTAAATCTTCATGTTATGATGTTAAAGCAGTAACACTATTCTTTATTCATCAGTTACAGTAGCTTAAGGGCTAGATTTCTGTAAAAACCCTTTTTCTGTAGGATAGACGGATTGCATGACTTCCTCCTTAAACTGCTTCTAAAAGACTAAGCAAATTTAGAGTGAAACCTTTCAATACCAGACTAGCAGGATATATGGTAGTTTTCCAGATGGTTTAAGGAAAAAAAACAGTGTCATCACATGCAGTAAGAAAATAAAACAGTCTGACAGAGATGAGGCCAAGAATGAGAGACCATAAATTAGTTCCAAGAAAGACCTTGGAGCACACACAGTATTTTATTTGATCTCTCTTCTGAACTTGATAATCAAATTAATTTATATTTATCCTGATCTCAGAGATGGCTAACTGAAATTGTCTCCTATTAGTAGAACAACTTAAAAAAATTAAAATACAAAGGTTTTTAAGAAAAGATCAAGTTTTTCTTTCATTCTTCCCTCCCCCACCAGCACACACACCCAGTTCTCCTTAGGAGTATCAGTGGTACTGTAAGTTGTATTTGTATAGAGTAGTTCATACACAGAATTACAGGTAATGTTAACTTGTATCTCTATAGATTAGTTCATTTACAGAGTATCTCTAGAAAGATAGTATGTACACAATGGTACATTTTAAGACTCTTGATACTTACTGATAAATTTCTTTTCAAAATGGATACTTAGTTTGAGGTGCCAGTTAGAATTCCATTTTTGTTTGTACTTCTTTGAATATTCTTTTTAAATACTAGATACTTTGTGTTTACTCTTTTATGAATTGCTTGCTTATACCTTTTGACATGGTATTTTAGAGTTGTCCTTTATGGAATTTATTTTGGCAGTCTTTTGTAGATGGTTACTCTATGATAGCTTGGATTTGGGGAGAAAAGTTAAAATGCTTTTCATAACATTTTATGCTTAAAGGTATGGGCTGAGCAAAGTTTAAGGAAAAGGAACTTCAGTGAGAGAAAAATCTATGGATTGGAAACTTGGGATCATTAAGGAATAATGTGGAGCTAGATTTGGGGGAAAAGGTGAGCTTGTTTTGAGTAGACTGACCGAGGATGGACGATTGAGATTGAGCTGTCCAGAAAATCTCTAGTGAGAGAATGAAGAATTAGGAATCATCTGACTTGTTGAGAGGATAGTTTAGAAAGATGAGTAGTGGATGAAATTGCTGAAGGAGACCTTTAAGAATGGAATCAGCAGGGTCATGAAGAACTAGGATAGGGAACCAGCAGTTAGCGTAATGGCTATGTCGCTGGACTCCCACGTAGTCGACCGCGGTGACCCGGTGGCTTAAAACTCAAGCCGGGCGCGTGTGCGTGCGTGCCCAAGATCCCGAGAGGAGAATGGAGGAGAAGGGATTGCGGTGTGGCCATCCCCGCTGGGGGGGGGGGGTTCTCGCTTTCTGTCTCTATGTCTCTCTCTGTCTGGTGAGCGCATGCGCCCTATAGCGAAAACCTCTCAAAAAAAAAAAAGAAAAAAAAAGAACTAGGATAGTAGATTGGCATGCTTGCCAAGGAGAGCAGGTGATCTCAAGAATCACAGGTTGCTAGCACAAGATTAAATAAAGGCTGCTGGGGGCTGGCCCCATAGCACAGTGGTTAAGTACTGGGTATAGGGAATCAGAACCCACAGGGCTGAACACAGTTCAATTTCCAATCCAGGTGACTTGCTGAGCATACCTATCTTGTGTGTACATGCTCAGCATCCTGATGAGATGGAGACATGGAGGAAAAAGATTTGTGGTGTAGTCAGGCCCTATTGAGGGGTTGCTTTCTTTCTGTTTCTGGTGAGTGCACACACACCCTGGCAAGTGCACGTGCCCTGTGTCAATACAAAATAAAAGACCATTGGTTTAATAACTTGGAGAAGATACAACTTATCAGAAACAAGAAGTGTGTATTTGTTTGCTATAGGGCACATGTGCGTGCAGAAGAGAGGCGAGAGTCAGAGTCAGAGAGAAAGAGAGAAAGCCAGAATTCTCTCGGTGGGGGGTAGGGGGGCGCTGGCCATGCTGCAATCCCCTTTCTGTTCTCCTCTTGGGAAGTTTGGCACTCATGGGCATGTACTTGGCATGTTTTACAAGCCTCAGGGTTTGGCACTCAAACTCTGAAGTTGACCATGTGGGCGGCACTTTAATCACCACACCACCTGCTGGCCTGGGAAGCAATGTTTTAAAATCTTCTATATGAGTGGCTTCAAAAAATTTCTGGAAGAATAGAATTGAAGTGATTTACTTTGGTGAAAAAAATGTTTGAAATCTATGCTTTTCTTTTCTCTTTTCTTTTTTAAGAGGGAATTTTGCTATAGGGCACATGTACTCATCAGAGAGAAATAGAAAGTGAGAAATCACCCCCCTTGGAGGATGGCCATACCAGTCCCTTCTTCTCCATTCTCCTCTCAGGAATTTGGGCACATATGCACATGCTCCTGGTGTGAGTTTTAAGCTGCTAGGTCTGGGACTTGAACCACAGTACACTATGTGGGAGTCCAGTGACATAACCATACACCATCTGCTGATCCTGAAATCCATACATTTTAGAAAGTTTGTTTATTTCTTCTACGCAGCGAGAGTACTCACAGCAGGGTCCCAATACTGCCATTAAACCCCAGCCTCAGCCAGCCCCAGATCTTTGGCAAGCATGTATACCATGGTATACTCAGGGAGGTCTCCAGATCTGAAATGGGGACCTTCCCTTGTAGGACTGCCTTGCAGAGCATCATGTTCCACTGCTGTGCTATTGTGTGGCTTCAGTTTTTTCATAATACGCGTTTTCTATGACCTTTTTGAGAATTCTTCACATATTAAAATATCTCATTCATATCAATCCCTATTATAAAATATATATGCTATGACTCATTTTCTTATTTTGTTTCTTTTTCATTATAAAATGTAAATGTTATAACTTCTGATTTATGAAAAACTGTATCAAATGACATTGAGTCAGTAGCTTATAGTTATGCATACCTGTTTAAATGTGTTTTTATTTTAACTGAAGTTCATAATTTTTCAAAGCCTGAGTTTTCATTTAGTCTATGTTTGTGCTATTGGACCTGTGGATCCAGTGTATTTCATGGCTGGGCCAGATGTGATGGTGTGTATAAGCTGGCAGATGAACCATTGAATTCCACTTTGTCAGCTGATAGATGAGTAAATATACCTATCTCAGAGAAATAGTGTGAGAAATAACCAAAGTAGCTTAAAGATAATTGAAGGTAGAGTTTTGTGAAGTCATTGGAAGATAGTTATCATAAAAGTAAAACAAAAAAACGCTTTAATTTATTGTTATTTAATGAAAATCAGCACTCTCATGGTAAGTTTTTCCTACATTTGTGAATATATAGAAACGTTTTAACACACTATATGTATATTACTTTAAAGTATGTATCTTAAAAATGGAATGATATGTAATAAAAGAATGGATTCATTTAAATCAGAAGTCAAGAGAAATTAAAAATATACTATAGTGCTTCTCGGATTTTCTCGGGTATACAGGACCAGCTTAAAACATTTTTCAATCCATTTTGGATAGATTAATACTTCTCTAAAATGCAAAGCAACAATGGGGGAAAAAAAACCCTGAAATCTGAAACCATGATAGAAAGATAAAAATAAGAACTCAAATTCTTGTTAGATTTAAAAGGTGAAATTGTTTTAAAAATAGAATTATGAGCAAATAGAGAATTCTGAAAACTATACACATTGTTTATTGAACACCCTCATATAAAGCAATCCATATATTAGTAAAATAGTCATCTCTGTGGATTGGTAACAAACACTGGAGAACTGTGCCTTAAGCAGCACTGTATTTTTACAGTAAGCAGTTCAGTCATCTCTTTATGTTTCATGTAACAAAAGAAAGGCTTGCTACCCTTCCTCCTTTTCTTACTTTTTTTTTTTTTTTTCCTAGAGGGCATGTGTGGTTACCCTAGAGAGACAGAGGGAGAGGGAGAAAGCACCTCCCAATGTGGCATAGTTATCTCTGCAGCCCCTTCCCTTCCATTTTTCCATCCTGTCAGGATTTTGGACATACATGCACATGCACCTGGTATGCTTTTCAAACTTTTGGGTCTGAGACTCAAAATGAGTCAGGTGGGATCTGGTTTCCTTAACTACCAGGCCACAGGGCCAACCCATTTCTTCATTTTCTTTTATTTTTAAAAGAATTATTTATTTAATAATTTAATAATATTAATTTAATAATAATTTATTTAATTTTATTTATAATTATTATTAATTATTAATTTTGCTACAGGGCACATGTGCGTGCATGAGAGAGAAAGTGAGAAAACAAGCTGCCAGGTCCAGGACTTGAACCACTATCGGCCATGTGGGAGTCCTATGCCTTAACCTCCATGCTATCTACTTGCCCTCTTCACTTTCTTAATTAAGTATAGGTATATATATATTTTTTTCTCTTCGAAATATGATTTTATTTCCTTAGAGAATCTTCCTAGTAATATTGTAAGTGTGTATTTCATATTAACTAAAAGGATTATAAATGTTTTCATCATAAAGAAATTATAAATGAATGAGATGACATATATGCCAAATACCCTAATTCAGTTCTTATACATGTATTAAAATGTAACACTGTAAACATAAATATGTACAACTGTTATGAGACAATTTAAAAAAAATTTTTTTTTGGAGAGGTTTTTGCTGTAGGGCGTGTGTGCTCACCAGGCAGACAGACAGAGACATAGAGACAGAAAGCGAGAAATCACCCTCCAGGAGGGTTGGTCACACCACAATCCCTTCTCCTCTATTCTCCTCTCGGGATCTTGGGCACGCATGCACACGCGCCCAGCGGGAGTTTTAAGCCACCGGGTCCGGGACGCGAACAGCGGTCGACTACATGGGAGTCCAGCGACATAGCCATTACGCTAGCCTTGTGGTTAAGGGAGCCATATTCGACAAGGCTAACCACGTCTGAATTCCAGCTCTGGCAGCTTGATAACCCTAACAGTGTGAATTTGGGCATTTAAGTCATTTCAACCACCACTCTTGGATTTTTTTTCTTTTTCTTTTTTTAAAGTTTACTTATGTCTTCAATCATTGAGAGAGTGAGAGTGAGCAACACTCACAACAAGGTGTTCACGCTGTGATCTACGGCAGCCTCAGCTAGTCCACAACATGGGTGTGGATATATACTTATTTGCACCCCAGGCATGTGGGAGGAGACCCTAGGACCCAAACCTTCCGTTGTTGGTCGGATTGCATTGATGCAGCACTGCCACCAAGTGACCCACCTCTGATTTTCTTTAAATCACTGTTGAGTTTTAAATGATTTACTTTTTTCTAATCTGCAATATGTTCTGCCATCATTGTTGGTAGTAAACCCTGATTACTGGAAGCTTGTGAGATGGTAATACACAGTGAGAAAAATTAGAAGCTTTGTAAGATAAGTTGTTCACAGCTTGTTCTGTAAAATTTGATGCCTCATTTTTATGTGGAGGACTTCATAATGCTTTTCATGAAAATAGGCAACAATGTGCAGGAATGTTATTTAAGTTTCCTGGTTCAGTCATATAATTTTGTTAGCATTTGCATTTTACAGCTGAGTTGTAGAGCATTAAACTGATTTACTTAGATTCTTCACAGGCAGGTACGAATTTCTTATGTTTCTTTATTCTAATACTGAATATTTAAATAATCTGCAAGCTTGGCCTTATATCAAGGCTCAGTGATATTGCCAGTACCCTTCATGATTCCAGAATGTCCCAGCAGTTATTAGCATTTGGTTTGGAGGGAGTATAAAGTGGTATTTAAGTTATATTGAGGATTACTTTAATGTAGATAAGAAAAAGATAAAATATCTTTGGACTCCGTATGCGGTCTTTTTACAACCATTCTTTTGTTTATGTAACTTCAAACAAGTACTGTCAGTGGGCAGAGAGATTTAAACTTCAATTGATTTAAAACTATGTATCTTATAAATGAAATGTTACATAATAAAGTCAAATGGATTCTTTAAAAGAGTAGTCAAGAGAAGCTAAAATATCATATTGCAATGTCTCTCAGATTATCTTTGTTAAAAAGGACCAACTTTAAAAAATTTCCAACCCATTGTGGACCAATACTTCTCTAAAATACAAAGTGACAGAAAGAGCTGAGCTATGAAGACTCTTATATTTGTTGTATTATCCAATGAAAAGTTTAAAAGTAGGTTTTTTTGAAAGTTATCTTCGCATGAATTTATGTATGTAATGTATGTATCATTGGAAAGACATCCGTAGCATCTTTGCCTGTTTTCCTGTAGGGTAATTCTTGTTCTACAATTACTTTTGGATGGAAGTATGCTCTTTTCCTAAGAGAAGATGGTAATCTTGGAGAATGACCATGGAGAAGGGGATGAGTTCCGGAGAGGGGCTGCCTTGCAGATCATCTCAGGTTTCGGCTGTTAAAATAACAGCTAAAGAGTTGGAAACAAAGCAGTCCCATAAAGAGAAACGAGGGGGCTTTGTGCTGGTGCATGCAGGTAAGCCCTTATGGAGGAGTTGGAATGTGAAAATAATGTTGATTTCTTTATTCTTGCTTTGGAGTAATCTGAGAGTTGCATTTCACATTTGCCAGAGAGGAGTTGAAACCCAAAGAGTGAGTGTCTGAAGAGATTGCCTGACTTAGATATAGTGAGGATCTTACAACGGCTGTTCTTCCTGTGTTCGTCTTTGCTCCCCTGTATCATTACTCACTTTACCCCATCATTATTCACTTTACCCTAAATATGTCCATTGCGTAGATATATTTAGGATATAAATTTAGTAGATATATTTAGTGTTAAAACCAGACAAAGTAATTTTTCAACTCTAGTTTGTGTTTTTAAAAATAATGGTGTTGAAAAAATGTTATTGATCTTAAATTAGGTTATAGTCATCTTTTTTTTTTTTTCTTTTTTTTTGGAGAGGTTTTTGCTATGGTGAGCACATGCTTGCCAGAAAGACAGAGAGAAACAGAGAGACAGAAAGTGATAAATCACCCCCCGGGGGGATGGCCATGCCGCAATCCCTTCTCCTCCATTCTCCTCTCAAGATCTTGGGCACACATGTGCCTGGTGTGTGTTTAAGCTACTGGGTCTGGTACTCAAACCATGGTCGACTACATGGGAGTCCAGTGACATAGCCATTACGCCAACTGCTGGTCCCAGGTTGTGGTCATCTTAGAGTTACACAATCTAATAGCCAGTTCCCCCCTCCCCCCCCCCCCTTTTTTTTTTTTTAAATTTGCCAGAGGGTACGGATGAGCTCACAGGAGAATGAAAGAGAGCGAGAAAGTGAAAATGAGAAAGTGATTCCTGAGGGAGATGGTTGTGCTGCAATCTCTTCTCCGCCATTTTCCCCTCTTGAGATTTTGGGCATGCACACACATGTGTCCAGAGTGTTTTTCAGGCCACTGGGTCTGTCACTTTAACTGACCAGTCAGCCATGTGGGATACAGCTGCCTTAACCACCCACCATGCTACTGGCATGGTGGGTGGTTAAGGCAGTTTGCCTTCTTAATGTAAATTAGGCACAGTAAGACCAGAGATTCAGTGTTTAGGTGGCTTCAGTGACACAGCTAGTGGGTACTAGAGCCAGGTTTAGAAACCCTAAGGGAGGGCCTTTGTTCTAGGCTAGAGCTCTTAGCATGGTATGAGCCTATAACCTTGCTCACTTTGAATACTGTAAGGACAGACACAGTAAAGTTCACCTTCCTGTGTTGTCCATTTTTGAAGGCTCTTGGGTTTCATAGTGCAGCTCTGCTTGTCTGCTCAGCAGGCTCTTTTTTGATGAATACTTTTTATTTCCTGGAGTTCAGACTCTAAAGTCCAGGAACTCCTTGAGGGAGAAAGAATGGAGTTAGCTTCTTGGCACAGTGGTAATTTGCTACTTAAGAGAATCTGGATATCACACAGTGACTGAGGTTCAAATTCCTGGCCCCATCAGCCTGACACTTGCTGAGCACATGTGTGAGTGCCCAAGATCGGATAGACTGGAGGATTGGAGAAAGGGGATGGCAGTGCGACCACATCCTGTTGAGGGCATTTGTCTCCCTGCCACTCCTACTCATGTGCAAGCACTCTACCATGAATAAAGAAAAATAAAACAAAGAAAAAGTGGCTGGGTCTCTCGTTAACTTTCCCCAAGACAGTCAAGCAAGATGGGAGCAGGATAAGCTTTGATATGGAGTGAGGAGGGCACTTGTGTCTTCAGGTGAAACTGGGGTCCTGCCTGGTCATTAATCTTTCGTTATGTCTAGATTGCATATACTGGATAACTTTGAAAGTCTTTTTGAAATGTCTAAAACAAAATAAAACAACACATTTAATTATCTTTTCTTAGAAGTGTTTTTACAAAGAGTTGAGATAAATTTATAAAAATAACCCAGTTAAAAATAGTCTTGGGGTTCCAGCAGGTGTCATGGTGGTTGAGACATTGGACTCTTACATGACTAACTATGGTTTGAGTCCCAGACTGGTGGCTTGCTTTCTCACGTTCTCTCTCTCTGGTAAGCACATGTATCCTATAGCAAATTAAAACAAACAAACAATCAAATAAATAAAATAGACCTAGGAGTAAAACTGCTACTTTTGGACTCGTAGTCTGGTTTTTTTTTTCCTACTGTAGCATGTTGATGGTGCATCTTCTATAGTACGCAGTGAGTTATTGTATTCAGAGTGAGCAGTTGGAAAAAGTACAATAAATGATCTACATGTTAATTCTATTTATGTCATCACTTATATATTAAAGCCATGTATTTAGCAATAGTATCTCATACTTTGGGAAACATTGCTGCAAGATTGGAGCCTCTGAGATCTCAGTCAGCAAACCCAAGATCAACTGTGTTTGGAGAATCATGGAGAGAGGCCTATTAAATATTGGCACAGACTCTGTGATTATTCATAGTTCTCTTGAGAATCAGGATTAGGATTGGGTATGGTGCATGAGCATCTTCTCTGCTGTCCTGAGTCCCTGTGCTATGGTTTTGTTGGCCAATTCTTTCTTTGTCTTGAAAAAAGGTGGGTTAGGTTTGTGTTGGTGTTTGTAGCGCCCACAAGAGTTGTGAGGTTTAAAGAAATAGTTTTTAAAAATTTTTAAAAATTTAACAGAGGATGTTTATACTTGCTAAAGAAAGATAGGGAAAAAGCCTCCCCCCCCCCTCCCCAGTTGGGCGTGGTCATGCAGCAATCTGTACTTCATTTTTCCATCTGGCCAGGATTTTAGGCACATATGCACATGTTAGGCTAGAGTTTGAATTGTGTTTGGCAATGTGGGATTTGGCTCCTTAACTGCTAGGCTGTGGGGCCAGCCCTAGAGATATAGTTTATACCTTTCTTTACCTTGAACCCTTATGGGCTTTGGGGGTGGGGTGTAGATGGTTCCATAGTTGGTTAAAGAACTTTGATTAGAGGCCTAATCATCAAGAGAGTATAATGGCTCTTGTCTTGTTTCTTTCTTTTTAGGGAAACACATTGATTCAGAGCCTTTCTCTTTAGAGAAGTTTCTGGGCATTTGATTAAAAGGTGGGGACTCCCAGGATTTCTAATAGGCAGTTGTGAGTGTGCCACCAGTGAGATTTCTGAGACTCCCGAGCTGCATTATAAACAAATGGACGTATACGTATTTGGGTAGAGTGGGGGTGGGTGGGAGATAAGACCCCCCTCCCTTCAACTTCAAATCAAAAACTATCTAGGGGCCAGCAGGTGATATGGTGGTTGAGGTGCTGGGCTCCCACATGGCTGGCTGAAGTTCATGTCCCAGACCTGGCGGCATGAAAAATCACAAAAAATAAATAGATAACTGACTGACTGACTGACTGACTAAATATATGTGTGTGTATATCTATCTATCTATCTATCCACATATATATTTATTAAAAGAAGTTATCTAGCTTTCCAAAGTCTTTTTTAAGAATTCTGGGTTCTGGGGACCAGTAGTTAGCATAATAGCTGTCGCTGAACTCCCATGTAGCGAACTGCAACAAGGAGGGGAGGTGACCTTGGTTAATCCTATTGGAGGACATGAGCTATTTCTTTGTCTTTATTTTTAGTTTTGCTATAGAGTGTGTACACTCACTGGAGCAAGAGGGAGGGAGGGAGGAAGTGAGAAATCACTCTTCAGGAGGAATAGCTGTGCTACCAGCCCTCTGCATGTTTTTCAAGCTGCTGAGTCTGGAATTTGAACTACACAGTTCACCATGGGGGATCAATCCAGCGTAACCACCATACCACTGGCTGGCCCAATATTTACTATTTCTAGATCATCCGTCAGGAGAAAAGCTTTAGGAAACAGAAGATAAAACATAGTATTAAAAAGACTAGTGGTATGGGCCAGCAGGTGGTGTGGAGGTTGATGTACAGATTCCACGTGGCCAGCCAGCTTTGTGGTTCAAGTCCTGGACCTGGCGATTTGAGAATCACACCAGGTCTGTGTGTGTGCATGCCCCAAATTCCAAGAATAGAATGGAAGGGATAGTGGCATGGCCATGCCTCCCCAGAAGGGGTGATTTCTAAATTTCTCTCTCACCCTCTGGTGAACACATGCCCTATAACAAAAACTTAAAAAAAAAAAAAATTGTGATAGAGAAAGAAGCCATAGATTTTAAGCATTCCATACAGTTAGGACAATAGTTTTATTTTCTCTAGGACAATATCAGTTTACGTGCATTATCTATATATCATAGGCAAGGTCTGGTATTATAATGATAACTGACAATTTTTTTTACTATCCTAGGTGCAGGATATCATTCTGAATCCAAAGCTAAGGAATATAAACATGTATGCAAAAGAGCTTGTCAGAAGGTATGAACAGACTGTATCTGATCTAAATGTTTCTGTTTTGAACATAAAACTGATTTACCTTGAAATTCAAAATTTTAAGGTTTCGTTTATAGGAGAATATTTGGTTTGAACCACAAAATTGTGTTGCTCATATTTGTGGGGCCTTATTTCATTTTGTTTTATGTTTTTAATTTTCTGAATGATGCTTAACTCTTTCTCCAGATTAAAGTATATATTTTTAGAATTGTGGGAACATAATCATATCTCTTTTAATCTTTGTGAAGGAATTGAACTCTATAGAAGAAGTAGGGAAAACTGCTTAAAGGCAGCTAATGTGTCTTTCCATAAAGGAAGAAAAAAATTAAAAAACCGAAATGCATGTTTTTTTTAGATTATCCTGTACTTTTTTCCTTCTGTTTTTCATCATAGAGTTTGTATCATAGCAAATTCATTGTCATTGCTGTGTTTAACTTTGCCCTTATACTCAATTATGTTTTTTATCCTATGGGTTTTTGAGGTTTTGCTAAATTATTGAATGTTTAATGTGGGAGCAAGAATGGACTCGGTAGAAATACTGTTTGTTATTATTTTGATCCTGACTATATACTCTTCTAGGCTCTTTTATGTAAATAGGATGTTAATTGGGTATTGTATCCCAAGTAAATATGGGTCTCTCTCAGTTCTTTTCATTTATACATTCATACCATTTTAAAAAAAGATTATAACGGGCCAGCATTTGACATGATGTTTAAGGTGCTGGACTCCTACGTGGCTGACTGCAGTTCTAGTCCCAGATCTGGCAACTTGAAAATTATACCAGGTGCGCATGTGTGTATATCCAGAATCCCAAAAGGAGAATGGAGGAGAAGGGATTGTGGTGTTGCCATCCCTCCCTGAAAAATGATTTCTCACTTCCTCTCCCTCTCTCTCTTACTCTTTCACCCTATCCTTTTCTTTCTGTTAAGCACACATGCTCTGTAGCAAAAAAAAAAAAAAGAGAGAGGAAAAAAAGGTTTGATGAGTAATATAGTTCTTGGTTTTTGAGCTTTCTCTTTTCTGGCTAAATCCTTCTCTTTCTTTCCTCTCAATTTATGCACTAGAAGTCAGGATGATTTTATAGACCTTTGATCTATAGTTTATATTACAAAAAATATGTTTATCTTGATGTAAAAGACAAGAGTCCTTCAAAAGTTCATGGAAAATTATAATTGAAGTATAGGTTTAGTTTACTTCAAAATAGTTTTAAATCCCTGCATAGTTTTATTATAATATATATTTTCCATAAACTTTTTGAAGACTTTCCCCCTGTACATCATAGTATCAAAATATTTATGTAATTTTTGCAAAAAATTACTTCTAGTTGAAGATTTTCTCTCTCTCTCTCTTTTTAAGGTTTTTGCTATAGGACAGCATGTGTGCTTGCTGGAGAGAGACAAAGAAAGGGGAAAAGAGGAATCACCACCCAGGAAGGTGGCCACACTGCAGTTACTTCTCTTGGACTCTTAGGCATGCATGCACACATGCCCAGCATGATTTTTAAGCTGCTCTCTCTCTGGGACTCAAACTGTAGTCAACCTTTTGGAAATCCGGTTCCTTAACTTCCATGCCACCTGCTGGCCCTAACTGAAGAGTCTTATGGGCCTCTGTAACCGAGAGTCACTAGTTTCTTATAGGTATGGGTGGGGAGAGCTGTAACAGTGGGAAGATTATAGCCTAGGCCAAGATTCAGTTATTCATATAAAATATGAATTGTTAAGGTATTTGAATCTTGGGATCAGCAGATGGCATAATGATTACATCACTGGACTCCCACATGGTCAACTGTGGCTCAAGTCTCGGACCCAGTAGCTTGAAACTCAAGCTGGGCATGTGTGCCTGTGTGCCCAAAATCCCAAGGGGAGAATGGAGGAGAAGAGATTGCAGCTTGGCCATCCCCATTGAGGGTGATTTCTCACTTTCTGTCTGTCTGGCGAGTGTGTGCACCCTATAGCCAAAATCTATCTTAAAAAGAAAAAGGTACTTGAACCTCAATGAATTCATGTAATTTCATTTAACATTTTTTTCTTTATTTCTTCCATGAGAGAGAGGAAAAGACAGAAGTCAGACATGAATTGCCAAGGTCCTTATTCTGTGGTCCAACCCCAGCCTTTATCAACTTTGATCACAGACATGTGTGCACACAGCATTTATAGGGATGTCTGGGATGCAAACCCTAGACCTTCCCATGTGGGTCTAACATCGCAGTGTTGTGTTAATGTGGCACTACTCTCTGGCCCCAGAATTTATATAATTTCTATGACTGTTTTGAAGGGCCCCATAATCAACTTACTGAATTTCTTGCAATTTGCATTTTGTGGGTAGATTTTATTTTTTGCCTTAATTTGAATAATATTAAGTGAGCCATGTCATAAGTTAACCTGAATGTAAACACTTGCTTATTTATTTATTTAATTTTTATCTATCTATCTATCTATCTATCTATCTATCTATCTATCTATCACTATAGGGTGCATATACTCACCAGAAAGAGAGAGAGAGAGAGAAGGGGGGGGGAAGAAAGTGAGAAATTAACCCCCCCCAACCTCCACACACACATACTGTGCCCAGGAACATGGCCATGTTGCAGTCCTTTCTCTTCTATTATCTTCTGTAGATTTTTGGCATACATGCACATGCACCCAACGTGTTTTCCAAGCTGCTGGGTCTGGGACTTGAACCATGGAGTTGGCCACGTGGGATCTAGAGGCCTTAACTGACAGGCCAACTGTTAGCCCAATACTTGGTTATTTTAAATCTAAGGAGTTCATGTTAAAATATAGAATGGAGCTATTGATTAATTTTTATTAACTCCCTTACACTTCTTTAAGGCTTGGAAAGTTTATGAGAATGTTTGAGATGTGGTTCTACAGTGAATTCTCTCTCCCCTTGGTCTCATAGGCAATTGAAAAGCTACAGGCTGGTGCTCTTGCCACAGATGCAGTGACTGCTGCTCTGGTGGAACTTGAGGTATTTCTTTTCTCTATCTATGCTTTATTTAAAAATCTTTGTGAATTTATGCTTGTTGTTCTTGACATACATGACATGAAACTTTTGAGCTAGTCAACCATAAATTATATATCTTCTGTTTTTCAACAATATTAACAAAGTATGAAGAAGTCTGTGATGTTATTAGATTGCTTTCATTGGGGACTTTTCTGAGTAATATAAAAGTTGGCTAAATTTTTTTTTTCCTCACTTTTGTGAGACTCAGGAATACAAAAGTTAATTGTGGTTATAAATTTAAACTTCTTCAATATTTTCAGTAGGAAAATTCTTGACATTAACTCTCCCAAAGTGATATATGTTCTTCGTTCATAAAAAAAAAATTCCTGTTGTCTTGTGTCTAAAGTGAAAGGGGACGTTTCCTCATAAATCTAATAGGAGTACACTCTGAAGCCATGTACAGTGAAATGTGCCTTGTTCTAGTGCAATTATTAGGTTTGTCTTCAGTTTACTGCAGATATGGGGCAATTGAGTGACGAGGTTGTCAAATTCGGTGTAATTCTTTGTATTCTAGAGGGAGGGTCTCTCAGTTCTTTTAATCTGGAACCTTAATTAGTTTGTACAGGGGATACTGAGGACTTTAGAAAACTCACTGTAGTCCTCAAATTTAGAGAAGATAGATACAGCTGAGAGAATTAATGGTGAATAAGTATTTTTATGGTCAAGAGGACTATTTGGAGAATCACTAAGCCATGAAGATAAAACAGTGATGAATTTGAGAGAGCAGTACAGTTAAATAGACATTCCCAAATTGAGGGGATTGAGCCTTGTGTTTAGACTTTCATAGCTGGGCACTCTACCTGTCATACCTTTCCTTGTTAAAATTACCCAGGACTTTACCAGAACTCCTGTTTGTGTGTGTGTGTGTGTGTGTGTGTGTGTGTGTGTGTGTGTATGTATATATTATTTCTCTTCTTAATTGTGGAGCTGTGCTTTTAGTCATGCTTTCTAGATTTTAATCTTTCTTGGTAACACCTTCAGCTTGGTTGTAATGTGGCCAAGGAAGGTAAACATACATGGTGGACACTGGGTCTATTGTAGTTTGGTCCTTGAAGAATCTGACATGGGCCTATGTGGTGCCCTCTTATTTTGAATAATACATTTTGTACTAACTTTGTCAGTCATTAGCTATGTGTCCCTGAGTATGCTGCAGCCTGTTCTAAACTCCTTTTCCCCGTGTATAATGTGAGAATAATAATAATTCTTACTTCATAGAGTTTTGAAGACCAAGTTTATATGCAGCAACCACATAGGACAGTATGTGGCCCATAGTAACTACCTCACAACTCTTAGCAATTGTCACTGCTGTGAAATACTTTGAAAATGATATATATAGGGTGAATATTTATGGAAATTGTTAAAGTTTTATAACATTGAAGAATGGTTAATTATATGTTGTGGATAAAAGAAGAAAAATGACACTCAAAAGGAAATTGATGGACTTACTGGCAACTCTTACCGTACTCAAAACATACAAACAGGAGGCTTTCTTCTAACGTAATTCAATTAGTAGTTGAAAATTACACTCTCTTGTGTAGAAGATGATGATGTCCTAAGAATATCAATACATGAAGTCAGGGTCTGGAAAAAAAAGTAAATGAATAGCTGTGAGGGCTCTACTATTATAGCAATTATGAATATAAAATTGTATAAATTTTTTTCTTTTCAACTTAGAATAACTTTAATTTTTAGTTTTCTCAGGTCACGTTGCATATTTATTTTCATATTTCCCTATAATAAATTCTGCTTTAAAAGGGTTTACTTATTTATACTTTAAAATGATTAAAAACACATTTTGGGGGGCCGGTGGCATGGAGGTTGGAGGCACTGGATTCCCATATGGCTGACTGCAGTTCGAATTCCAGACCTGGTGGCTTGCTTTCTTGCTTTTCTTTTCTGTCTCTCTTTTTCCCTGTCTAGTCAAATTAAAAATAAAGATAATAATAATAACAAATGGAATTAAATAAATAAATAAATCTTAAAAAATTTTGGAATTGTGAGTTACTCATGAGTAAGTAAGATTTATAGTTTTGAATGATGACCTGTGTTTCTTAGTAAATGTGAATTAAAAAAATCCAAACATTCATCCTATTATTTTTTATTAGGATCCATCATGTGAATAATGGTAGCATAGGTTACTGTTGTGAGAAATTTTAGTATACTCCCCCCAACTCCTCTCTGCCATTTAATTATTAAATTTGGGGATGAATTTTAGTTAATTATCTTTTTTTAAAGAATTATTTAACTTTATTTATTATTGTTATTTTCTATTATGATTAGAGAGAAAAAGGGAAAGTGAGAAAGCAAGCCATTAGGTTCGAGACTTGAATCGCAGTCGGCCATGAAGGAGTCCAGCACCTTTAACCACCATGCCACCTACTGACCCCATTAATTATCTTTCAATATTTCTTTTTTAATGGAATCTTTGAATTATATGTCAGTAGCTTGAAGGCTAAGACTATATTAACTAGAAGAATTCTCCTGAATCCTAAGTTGTATTTGGAAGTCATGCTTATATTGTCCCCTATAGTTTCTGGCACCTTGTATAATTGTGATTCATTCTTTAATATGATAGGTTTTCAAATGAAGAGTTCAGTTGTTTTCACTTTCCCTCTCTGTGTCTCACTTTGTCTCTCTCCAGCAAGTGCATGTGCATTATCGCAGAAAACCTAAAACAAACAAAAAGAAGTCAGTTGAAGAAGTATTGTGTAATAGTCTGGGTCAGTGGAAAGATATAACAAAATTGAATTCTAATGTTTTCTTTTTTTTTCTTTTGTAGTGTTTTCTATATTTAGAAACAATGTAACTATTGGCTTGTCGGAAAACTCATAACATATTTTTTCTGTTTTTCCATGCAAAGATGTGTCATGACTTTCCTGACAACTCAATATGTTATAAACTGTAATGTGCTGAGAAAAATCCCAGAGAACCTAATTTATATAGTATGTTAAGTTTAATTTGTGAGTAAACACTTTAAACTCAGTTAAGTCTTATCCTAACTATTGAATAAATAAATACCTCCCTCTTGCCTTTGATGGACTTCTTTTTTTCTTTTTTATTATGTGAGAGAGCTAGGATGAGTGAGAGAGAGAAAGAATACCCCCCCAAAAGTCCTGGTCATGTTGCATTTCTGTTCTATACAATTCTCCCTCTCCTCAGAATTTTGGACATGTGTATACACCCCTGGCATGTAAGCCACTGTTGTTGGGAGTCCAATGCCATAACCACTCTGCCACCTGCTGGCCCCTCTGGGATATACTTTTAGATTAGAAAATCTGTATTTTTTTTTTAAAGAATTATTTAATTTATTATTATTATTTTTTAATTTGACCAGAGAGAGATAGAGAAAGACAGAAAATAAGAAAGCAAGCCACCAGGTGTGGGACTCAAACCATGGTCATCCATGTGGCTGTCTGGCACCTTAACTACCATGCTACCTGCCAATCCTGAAAAACTGTATCTTTTAAACTTTCCCAATTATGAATATAAAATTGTATAAATTTTTTTCTTTTCAACTTAGAATAACTTTAATTTTTAGTTTTCTCAGGTCACGTTGCATATTTATTTTCATATTTCCCTATAATAAATTCTGCTTTAAAAGGGTTTACTTATTTATACTTTAAAATGATTAAAAACACATTTTGGGGGGCCGGTGGCATGGAGGTTGGAGGCACTGGATTCCCATATGGCTGACTGCAGTTCGAATTCCAGACCTGGTGGCTTGCTTTCTTGCTTTTCTTTTCTGTCTCTCTTTTTCCCTGTCTAGTCAAATTAAAAATAAAGATAATAATAATAACAAATGGAATTAAATAAATAAATAAATCTTAAAAAATTTTGGAATTGTGAGTTACTCATGAGTAAGTAAGATTTATAGTTTTGAATGATGACCTGTGTTTCTTAGTAAATGTGAATTAAAAAAATCCAAACATTCATCCTATTATTTTTTATTAGGATCCATCATGTGAATAATGGTAGCATAGGTTACTGTTGTGAGAAATTTTAGTATACTCCCCCCAACTCCTCTCTGCCATTTAATTATTAAATTTGGGGATGAATTTTAGTTAATTATCTTTTTTTAAAGAATTATTTAACTTTATTTATTATTGTTATTTTCTATTATGATTAGAGAGAAAAAGGGAAAGTGAGAAAGCAAGCCATTAGGTTCGAGACTTGAATCGCAGTCGGCCATGAAGGAGTCCAGCACCTTTAACCACCATGCCACCTACTGACCCCATTAATTATCTTTCAATATTTCTTTTTTAATGGAATCTTTGAATTATATGTCAGTAGCTTGAAGGCTAAGACTATATTAACTAGAAGAATTCTCCTGAATCCTAAGTTGTATTTGGAAGTCATGCTTATATTGTCCCCTATAGTTTCTGGCACCTTGTATAATTGTGATTCATTCTTTAATATGATAGGTTTTCAAATGAAGAGTTCAGTTGTTTTCACTTTCCCTCTCTGTGTCTCACTTTGTCTCTCTCCAGCAAGTGCATGTGCATTATCGCAGAAAACCTAAAACAAACAAAAAGAAGTCAGTTGAAGAAGTATTGTGTAATAGTCTGGGTCAGTGGAAAGATATAACAAAATTGAATTCTAATGTTTTCTTTTTTTTTCTTTTGTAGTGTTTTCTATATTTAGAAACAATGTAACTATTGGCTTGTCGGAAAACTCATAACATATTTTTTCTGTTTTTCCATGCAAAGATGTGTCATGACTTTCCTGACAACTCAATATGTTATAAACTGTAATGTGCTGAGAAAAATCCCAGAGAACCTAATTTATATAGTATGTTAAGTTTAATTTGTGAGTAAACACTTTAAACTCAGTTAAGTCTTATCCTAACTATTGAATAAATAAATACCTCCCTCTTGCCTTTGATGGACTTCTTTTTTTCTTTTTTATTATGTGAGAGAGCTAGGATGAGTGAGAGAGAGAAAGAATACCCCCCCAAAAGTCCTGGT